ATCTCGAATATCTTTCGAGATATTCAAATTTTAATATTTTAAAGTCGAATAACTCAAAAACTATCATGCCTATTAAAATATGGATTTCATATTTGTTATCAGCGTAAAAATCCACATCGAATCAATATATAATATTAATAATTTATGTAAAATAAAAAATTTCGACGGGACGTCCCGTCGCGACGGGAATAAAAGTCAACCCCTACCATTACTACTCACTCGTAATAACTATTCATGTATATCTTTACATTACTAACTTATTTATACAATAGTTATAAACATTAACGTTAATAATGTTAATAAGTAATAAAGTTAACTTTATACACTAAATTAAAACGTTGTGTTAAATTATTGTTTAATTAAAATTTTAAAATAATTTTTTATAAATTTAATGATAAGTACCAGTAAATAGTAAATTAAATATATACCACTAATAAACTTATAATTGAAAACATGATTAAATGTTGGCCACAAAACAAAGTGCTGCAGTATGGGAACTCTCGGTAAATGTAATGAATGTAATAAAACTATGTATTTTTTAGATTCATTATTCACTTTAGGAAGCGTGAGAAGGAGTCAATTATTTCATATTTAGTATCGATATTAATATCAATCAGTTAGTTTCTATATAAATTATAAACCCTTTATCATTTGTAATATTTTTGCATGTTAATGTAATTATTTGTCTATGATTTTGAATAATGTTTATAAAGTTTTGTTAAAATAAAGTATTGATCCAATAATTATTTTTAATCGGTAAAACAGACGGCACCACAAATATATATAATCAGTTGTTAAGTCTAACCAAATACGTTAATTATGATACATTTACAGTTTATTATTAACATTTAAACATAATACTTGATGCCAGTATAACCGGCCACGTGTCCGCCCAGACTGTGCCCAATTAAATGACAATTTGAGTATTTAAGTTTCTGTGTGCTCTTAAATGTTTGAGGTAATATTATTAATATATAAATATATTTATGGTAAATCAAAGATGACATATTTTATTTAATTACTCACATTTAAATTTCTAATTAACAAAGCTATCTGCGCAACAACCTTAGGCTTTTGGCAGCGGTTTGTGAGTAGGGCAGCCCTAGGTGGTTAATTTTTAAAACGTGATTATGGTGATTGGTTTAATTTAAAAATATATTTATTTAATTAATTTTAAAAATGAACGTTTAAATAAATAATATATTTTTTATATGGCTAGATTATAATGTTTAATACTGATAACTTAAATTTATAACTGATAAATTTACTAATTGTCTAATTTGATTAAATAATCAAATGCAATACAAAATATAAATATTAAAAATTATTGTTAAAACATAATAAAATAAATATATTTATTTTAGTTTGAATTAATTAAATATATAGCCCCTGATTGTGAAGCCCAACAAAATTACATTTATTTATTTAGCCTATTAAAATATATTAATTTTGAAATATTTACAGTTTAATTACAAAATTAATAAAAAATGTTGTTGATTCTCTTTCTCTCATAAAATATTTAAAAATAATTGTTATTTGATCAAGTAACTCAAATTGTTCATTACTTATAATTTAAATGTCTACCTGCTAAAATAAATAATTGTTTAAGTTAATCAAATGATTTAATGCAGTACAAAATATATCTATTTAAAATTCTCATTTAATACATAATAAAATTATATTAATTAATGTTATGTTTATTTTAATTAAATTTAAATTAATTAAAAATAGTGTCATAAAAGTCCCTAACCCAGCAAAATTCTATTTATTTATCTAGTCTATTAAAATACACTAGTTTTGATACATTTACAGTTTATTTGTAAACTTTATAAATGATGTTTTCCGTTACCACTCACTCTCTTATAATATAATTAAATATTATTAACAAACAAATAATATATTTATATTAATTTAAAATACTAAAATATATAATTTATAAAGTCATCAAATATTATAAACAAAAAACACAATCATTATAAATACCATTGCCTTCAGACCAGTCGACAACAAACACATTATAATCGCCATTAATAAGTAACTCATCCGTTAATCGCGTAATCTATTTACAATACGATAGGTTATCAACAAATCCATGAACTAAAACTTGAATTAAAATTTCTAAATAACAAATCTATCAACGCGTTGAATAATTTAATAAACTAGCTGTAAATTTAAACACAATATAGTTATTTTACTTAAAATTGGCTGCGCAGGGTCCAGTGCAGAAATACGACCAAGTTATTATCTTTAGATAAACTCATAAAATGATGCCCAGTATAACCGGCCACGAGTCCGCCCAAACTGTGTCCAATTAGGTGACAATTTGAGTATTTAAGTTTGTGTGTGCTTTGTTATGCTCGAGGTAATCATAATTATATATAAAAATATTTATGGTAAATTAAAAATGTACACTTTATTTAACTACTCACATTTTAAATTTCTATTTAACAAAGCTATCAGCTATTGGCAGCAGCTTGTGAGTAAGGCAGCTCTAGGTTAAAATGTGATTATGGTGATTGTTTTAATTAAAAAATATATTTATTAAATTAATTTTAAAAATGATGATTTAATTAAATAATAAACTTTTTATTTGACTAGATTACAATGTTTAATACTGATAACTTAAATTTATAACTGATAAATTAACTAATTGTTTAATTTAATCAAATGGTTTAAGGCAGTATAGAATATAAATATTACAAATTATTGTTTCAAACATAATTAAAAATAATCGTCTCGAACCCTTGAATCCAACCAAATTACATTTATTTACCTAATCCATTAAAATATACTAGTTTTGATACATTTACAGTTTAATTGTAAACATTATAAAAAGTGTTTTTTTTAATTGTTTTTCTTTCATTAAATATTTACAAATAAAATTTTTATGTATTTAGGTTCTATTGTTCATTACTCATAAATTAAAATTATACATTATAAATTAAATAATTGGTAAATTTAATCAAATGATTTATTGCAGAACAAAATATAAATATTAAAAATTCTTGTTTAAACCATATTAAAATTATAATAATAATTATCCCTTAAGTCGCCAGAGCTTATTATGACGTGTGTTTAATAAAAGTTTTATTACAATTTGTCCAATAAGAAAACTGTCCAGTTTTGTTAATGAGAAGGTCATCAAATGAGCTGGGTTGATTTTTCAAATTCCCCAATCATATTTGAATCATAATGGATTTTGATCTCTATTGGCTTGTGCCTCAGGCACTTAAAAATTTATTATGAGTTATTATGTTATATTTATTTTAGTTTGAATTAATTAAAATAATCCCGACATTTCTAAACCAACAAAATTACATTTACTTATCTTATTTATTAAAGTATAATAAAGTTTAGTTTTGATATATTTACAGTTTAATTGTAAACTTTATAGATAATGTTATCTTTATCACTCATTTATAATATAACTAAATATAATTAACAAAAACACAATTATTATAAATACCATTGCCTTCAGACCAGTCGACAACAAACACATTATAATCGCCATTAATAAGTAACTCATCCTTTAATCGCGTAATCCATTTACCATACGATAAGTTATCAACAAATCCATGAATAATAAACAATGTCCTTTTACTACCATTAAAATCAGGCAAAAAAGTTGCCTGCCTTGATTGCCTGTAAACAAGCCACTGGTCGCCCACCCGGAGCCGTTTGGTAGGCTTAATACGGGTATACATAAAGATCTTGGTCTTTATTTTGTCCGGTGGCTCAGGCATTACATTGTATGGCCGGTACATCAGGTGCTTAAAGTCGGCGGTGATGTTAAAACAGCCTAAATCTCCATAACAAGCACCGGGAGGGTTGTCCTGGAGTTGACTGTAGGTGGTTGTGGTGGTGATACAAAATATAAATTATAAAAACTTTTGCTATTACCATAATAAACTAAAGATAAAATTAAACTAAACATAATAAATTTATTTATTTTAATTTAAATGATTAAAATAATGGTCCGAACTACTTTTGACCAACAAAATTACAATTATTTATCTAGCCTATTAAAATATACTGGTTTTGATATGTTTACAGTTTAATTGTAAACTTCATAAATTTTTCATTTTCTCCCCCCCCCTCTCTCTCTCTCTCTCTCTCTCCTCATACACACAATAATTATATTTTATTCCATATGAATCCCTATTATTTGCTACATAAACAATAATTTAGCATTTGTCTGTATATGTGATAATTGTTATGACAATTGTATTGCAATTACAATTGTAATCAAAACATTATTACTTGCTCGTATTAACTATTAAGGTATATCTTTACATTAATAACTAATTTATAATTATAAACATTAACTTATAAATATATACTAAATTAAAACGTTGTGTTAAAAAATTGTTTGATTAACATTTTACTATAATTTTTATAAATGTAATAATAATTACTAGTAAATAGTAAATAAAGTAAAGTTATATTAGCTGATAAACAAAGCTGATAATTAATGCTGATATTGAAAATAAATATACTTGTAGTAAAAAAGTCAAACATATATTTTTTATCAAGTAAAATTTATTTTTAAAATAATATTTTTTAGTTAAATGATTTTTATGTTATGTTATATAATTAATAATAAGTTAAATAAATAATTTTATTAATAATACTGTTAATATAAATTATTGTAAATATAATTTTAATTACTTTTAAATGAACCAGTACATTTTTTAGCATTTAGCCATAAACCTAACCACACTATCGGCATTAATACCATGTTGGCTATCACGTGGCTTAACACAAAATCTATACCGTTTACCGGTGTCGAGAGACTTAATAATAATATGATTGATAAAAATGGCATGATCATTTGTCTGTCTGCTACCCAACCCATCGCCACTATTAATGTTGATATCAATACCGGTCTGTTTTAACAGTGAATCCCAGCCCCAGGTGTTAGTGTCCAGTAAATCAAATGTGTTTTCCGACCACTTGTACTCAATGTATGCGTCGTTTGCACCGAGATTTTGCTCAGTCCGTAGGCTATACACTGAATGATAGGTAGTGTTGTGCTTAATGTCCAGTACACTAACGGGAATACATGGTCAAAGTTTGTTAGTTTATTTATATACATGGTATTTTATTTTTATAACCTACTCTTTGCTAAAATCTTGAAAGTCCTGTTCCGACGGGAATTTCAATGACATTCGCCCCGAATATGCTATTTTGGTGACGTTATCCAAACGAGTCACCGGTATTGACACTTTGTATTGAAAGCCTATTAAAATTTTTTGAATAAATTACATAATAATCTTTTAATGTATTTATTAAAATAATCGAGACACTTTAATTTAAAAATATTTATGGATTTACAGCAATATCTACAACTTGCTAAACCAATATCAAATTGAATGTAAAACCATTATATTGTAAGCTTGGTCTATTGGTCAAATATAGTCACGTACTAACTAAAATACTTTTATGGTCTATTATTATAAAAATAATGATTAGAATGTAATTAATGAAATTATTACTTAATGTTATAAAATACTTCTCTCTCTCTCTCTCTCTCTCTCACTCACTCACTCAATACTGACCATAAAAGAGTTGTTCCGCACAAGTCGTGAGAAAAATATATTTCTTTTAGTTTAAAATAATTTCTCTGACTCTTCTATCCAACAAAATTACAATTATTTATCTAGACTATTAAAATATACTGGTATTGATTCATTTACAGTTTAATTGTAAACTTGATAAACAATATTTTCCACTATTTCTCTCTCTCTCTCTCTCTCTCTCTCTCTCTCTCTCTCTCTCTCTCTCTCTATCACTCACTCAATACATACCACAAAAGGGTTGTTCCGCACGAGTCGTGAGATAGAAATTCTTGGAATTCCTGCGATTCCTAAACCAGTCGACCGAATGAAAGCCCATTTGAGCGCACAGTCGACCCGCGCGACCGCAACCGTCGCATCCCTTCCCCATAGAAAAGCGTTGCCATGAGTCGCACGACTGGGCCCTGAATCGGCATAATTGACTCGCATTGGGCTTTGGGTTAACACTTTCGATGAAGTAGTCGGTGGGCCGGAGATGATTGCACGCCACCAACTGTCGAGTGCCCTCCATAAAGCCCCCGTTCAAAAATGATTGTATTTTGTCCTGGGTGCAACCAGGTTGATCGCTGCCTCTGTAATATTATAGCTAAATTAAATACATTAGATTATGATTACGTTCAGTGCTTGTCTAGGGTGTATTTTTTGCAGCTAGATTGTTTAAAATGTTTTATAAATATTGTTTAATAAACTGTAATTATTATCTTTTTTATATTAATATAGATCAAACCATTTTGGTAATACACACAAGTGGAGTGCATAAATACAACGTTATATTACTATGATTATTTTAATTATTAGATTGAATTTATTTATTACACAACTTATTTTATCATTAACCACCTTGAATAATTTAGTTTATCATATTTAAATATTTTAAAGCTAACTTTACTTTTTATTCTTAATAAAGCTAGACTATTTACCCATTAGGATAAAAATCAATATGGCCAATGGCCTGGCTCATGCCCAAACCACCACGTGTTAGAAACGGATTGGCATCGGTGTGTATAACGTCGACAAACGTGGCATCGCTACTATCCAGACGAACAGACTTGGGCATATTTCTAAAAATAATCACGATAATTTGTTGAGTAATTTAATAAACTAGCTGTAGATTTAAACTTTATATAGTTATTTTACTGAAAAAATGGCTGCGCAGGGTCCAGTGCCGTAATACGACCAAGTTTATTATCTTTAGATAAACTCATTAAATGATGCCCAGTATAGCCGGCCACGTGTCCGCCCAAACTGTGCCCAATTAGGTGACAATTTGAGTATTTAAGTTTGTGTGTGCTCTGTTATGTTTGAGGTAATTTTAATTATATAGAAAAATATTTACGGTTAATCAAAAATGTACATTTTATTTAATTGCTCACATTTAAATTCCTAATTAACAACGCTATTTGTGCGCCCACCAATCGGCTATTGGCAGCGGCTTGTGAGTAGGGCAGCCCTAGATGGTTAAAAGTGAACAGGGTAATTGATTTAATATTTTAAAAATTATTATTGAATTAATTCTAAAAATAATAATTTAAATAAATAATAAAAATTTTATATGATTATATTATAATGCTTAATAATGATAATTTAAATTTATAATTGATACATTAACTAATTATCTAATTTAATTAAATAATTTCACGCAGCACAGAATATAAATATTAAAAATTATTGTTTAAAACACAATAAAATTATAATAAATATATTTAGGTTGGCACTATACAGCACCACCCTGCACCAGCTGCACCACTGCACTACCAAATATTGGTCAGTATCAACATAACTCGACTGCACCACCATGACCAGAATCGCCATAAAATAGAGAGAGATTAATTTTATTATGACGTGGTTATTGAATGACCAAGTTAAATTGTTAACTATCATTCAAAACAATCGTTACTAATTATAAAGCAAAGTTTCCTTAAATTTACAAAAGTTTGTATTAAACTATTAGATTTGAATAATAAGTTATATTTAAGTTCAAACCCCACTTTTGATATTAGTGTATACTATATATGAGTAGCACTTGAATAGAGTATGAATTACACAGCAATTGATTTATAAAATAGGCCTCTAAGGCCTTAACATGGCATCGATGACCATGACTTAAATAAAAAAATCTTATAATACATAAAGCAGTATAATTAAAATAATTATTAATTATTGAGAGATATGTTTAAAAAATCTAAATAAAATAACTATAAAAATAATTATATTTGTAATAAGAAAATTTGGCTATTTATAAATTAATGTTTAAGTTTCGAAATCATAATATTGATTTATAAAATTTTAAAATTTTGCTGTAAAATAATCCTTACTACAATCTATATTTTGATAGTTATGTTATGGTGGTGCAGTCGAGTTATGTTGATACTGACCAATATTTGGTGGTGCAGTGGTGCAGCTGGTGCAGGGTGGTGCTGTATAGTGCCAACCATATATTTAACATTTGAATTTAACAAAATTACATTTATTTATTTAGTCTATTAAAATATACTAATTTTGATACATTTACAGTTTAATTGTAAACTTTATAAAAATGTTTTTCATTTTCTTTCTTTCATAAAATATTTAAAAATAAAATTGTTATGCGATTAGGTTATATTGTTCATTACTTATAATTTAAATTTATACCTGATAAATTAACTAATTGTTTATTTTAATAAATTGATTTAATGTAGTACAAAATATAAATATTTAAAAATTCTTGTTTAAACCATAATAAAGTTATAATACAAAACGTTATATTTATTTTACCTTGAATTAATTAAAAATAATGAGACTAACATTCTATTCCAACAAGATTACATTTAATTATCTAGTCTATTAAAATATACTAGTTTTTATACATTTACAGTTTACTTGTAAACTTTATAAATAATATTTTCAGTTATTAATAACTTATTATTCACTCACTTATAATATAACTAAATATTATTAACAAAAAATTATATATCTATATTAATTTGAAATAATTAAAAATAATTCAGCGTATGAACACTGGCCAAATAAATTACAAATATTTATATAGTATACTAAAATATACTAATTTTGATATATTTACAGTTTAATTGTTAACAATATATTTATTAATTTTTCTCTCTCTCTCTCTCTCTCTCTCTCTCTCTCCTCCAATCACTCATAATATAACTAAATATAATTTTAAAAAAACAATCACAATAAATACCATTGCCTTCAGACCAGTCGACAACAAACACATTATAATTGCCATTAATAAGTAACTCATCCTTTAATCGCGTAATCCATTTACCATACGATAGGTTATCAACAAATCCATGAATAATAACCATTGTCCTTTTACTACCATCAAAATCAGGCAAAAATGTTGCCTGCCTCGATTGCCTGTAAACAAGCCACTGGTCGCCCACCCGGAGCCGTTTGGTAGGCTTAATACGGGTATACATAAAGATCTTGGTCTTTATTTTGTCCGGTGGCTCAGGCATTACATTGTATGGCCGGTACATCAGGTGCTTAAAGTCGGCGGTAATGTTAAAACAGCCTAGATCTCCATAACAGGCACCGGGAGGTGAGTTGTCCTGGAGTTGACTGTAGGTGGTTGTGGTTGCGGTGATTAATAGCACCAGGTGCAAAATATTAAATATTTTACTAGCATATATTAAGTAATACGCGTTGATTATTAGCATGATGGTTATTATGATTTAGCACAAACTATAATATACTGTATAACATACACATTATTTGTACTAATTTTATATTTGCACATATTTTTGGAAATGTTTTAGTCCACAAAATATTATGCTTTTAATAGATTTTTGTGTAAAATAATGTTTAATATAAAATAAATATTGAATAAAAACATAAATCCTTGAAATATAATACAAACCCAAATAGTGTTGAAATGTGTTGAATAACATGTGATATTGTATATCAAGTTTTGTGCAATTTTTGATACGTTTCGTGAATATTAATTAGTAATTTAATCTAGCAACTTTTTCATACTTGATTAATTATGCAATGAACATGTGCAAATAATTTTAAGATGCTTAACAATATTTTATTTAATGTATTTTTAGCAGTTATTTAACATTAAATGCGGTTTAGATTTAAAAAAAAACACTATTAAATATTAGATAATTATGACTATTTTATTAATTTGCCAATGATAATAGGAAATAAACTGTTAAATTAAATATCACAGCAATATAATAATTTAATATACAATAAAATTATGTTTAAAATTTAATGTAAACTCACAGGATATTCCTCAAAAAAACCTTAATGCTTTTGAACAAATAATTATTTCACTAAAGTTTATACAATAATGTAAATTCTGTATTATACTGTATAGTAAATTTACATGCATTATATTGTAGTTCATTCAATTGATCTACGGTAGTATTTAATATACTCGTATTCAACAATAACAATAGTTTTGTCGTCAACATTTACAATGATATACAATGTACATTGTTTAAATATTTGCATTGTATGTTTTTGATGCATACCTAAACTTCCATATAATAATAGTTTTAAAATATTAGTTTTATACATTTAATTGTAAATAACAAATGATTAAAATTGTTTTAATATTTAGAGACTATGATTTTAATTTAATTATTAATTTGATAAAATTGATATCACTGCCTACAATCCATAATATTTATTGTGTTTAAATATCATATAATATTTTTCATACATTTTAATTTTGTTACAGTCTTTAAGAAAGTATTCAAGTAATTATTCTAAATCATCTTAAATGTTATTTTGTGCCATTAACATAATTAAAAATATGATTTTTAAATGTTAAATAAAAGTTACAGGTGATTATTATAGCCAAAATATTTATTTTATACCAAATCAACATAATATTATAATAACAAAAATATAATGTTACAATCTTCATATATTATATAGGAAGTAAGAATTTTATACACAAACAAAAACATAATATTTTTATAAGTATCTCAACATCTTTAACAGAAATTAATATTTAAGTAAAAACATTTATTATGCTTTATTTTTATGATTGATTTGTTTATTAAATGAAATGTTTTATATTTATTAATATAAATTTATTTATTTACTAGGTGGTGGTAATAAATAAATTTAATTAGTTTATTATTACAAGTTACATGTACAATTATTATCATAAGTTAGTCATACAACTAAAAATATCAATAATAATATTAATAACAATACAGTATATAACGTTATTATTTATTAAAACATTACTGGATTTATAACTATTAACGTTGGACTTATTTCAAACATTTAAATTATAATGTATTTTAATGATATGTTAAGCGTATTAATAATTATTCTAATTATAATATTATTAAGTGTTATATTTGCAAAATTATATAATAAAATAATTATTGTCTATTTTAATATATATTTAATATTTAAAAATTCAATTCAGCAATTACACCAATTCACTCAATCCATTATAACGATTAATAACATAACATTTAAATCAATTATTAAATTGATTGCAAAAGTGTTATGTTTTTGTGTGTTATCCTATGGGGCCATCGGATTGACAATAAATTACTTCAGTTACCCCAATGTCTATAGCGTTAACGTAAAGCCGAGCAATGAATTGCGTTTACCAGAGATTACTATCTGTACGGAAAGGGATGAGTTTTTTGACAAAA